TTCCCTCGTAGTTGGAAGACGAGGCGTTTTTGCTTGCTTTTATTTTGTTCTATTATAAATTGTATGCGTTACGTGTTTGCTAGGCAAAAGGCCCTCGGGGATATATCGATTTCGCTAAAGAAGAAATCGCAAATAAAAATATATTGTTGCATTAAAAATTTAAATAACATTTATACGTAAGGATCTCATCTCTCTAATTGACACGTCAAAAGTATTCAAATAAGTTTAATAATAATTTATGCATATATAATAATATATGTGCATATGTTTCCGTAAATTTATTTCTTTTCGTTATAAATCACCCGTGTCTACAGGGAGTTTTTTTATGTGAAAAGTTGCCAAGCGAGCAGACGGTTAACCTGATGTTAAGTGAATACCGCCGCCCATGGACATCCGCTACTCCTGAGGGTTGCAGATGCGTTGGAAATCTTTTGAAAAATTGAGCTCCGGCCACATCACTCACCAAACGAAACGCGAAAGTTTTATACTTCCACTTTACGCCAGTCTTCTGTGAGGTCGTGGTACTTACCCTGACAAGCCAGCCGAGGCTGTTGCGTGGCCCGCAGAAAGTTTGTCTAGATTCTCGAAATCCATAATTCCAATGATGATTTAATAAAGATGACGCATGTTCATACTGCGCGGCGTTTGTAACTGTTTCGCTTAACATTTTATGACATATGTCAATGTGACATGAAAATATATGAAAATATGACATATAGAAAGTATGATACGGAAAGATATAGCAGCCTATAGAATTACAATCTACTTACACCAATTGGCGTAATTGAACTGCCTCAATTTGAGTTAATGAAACGGAGAAATATTTTTTATAGTATTAAAACCTTTCCTTTTTGGACCTTTGGACCTTAAGCAACATACAAAAAATAAATTAGCCGAATTAGTCCAGCCATACTTGAGTTATGCTATTCCCGACATTCTTTTTTATTTATTAAAGATTTTACCAAATTAAACTATTTCTCGATTTAATAAGGATTTATCGCGTTTATTTTAAATTTTAGTTTCCGACATTTAGAAGACTTTGGAGCGCTCTCAGTCACATGACCAACCAGTGAATTTTTTTTTTTTTTATGTGAAAAGTTGCCAAACGAGCAGCCGGTTCACCTGATGGTAAGTGAATACCGCCGCCCATGGACATCTGCTACACCCGAGGATTCCAGATGCGTTGACAACCTTTTGAAGATTGGGCTCCGGCTACCTCACTCACCAGGCGAAACGCGAAAGTACGTCATACTTCCACTTTACGCCGGTCTTCTGTGAGGTCGTGGTACTTACCCGGATGGGCCTGCCTATTCGTGCAACAGCCGAGGCTGCTGCGTGGCCCTACCACCGTTAGCGTGGCCCTACCACCGTTAAAATCCCAACCCAAAAATAGTTTCATTAGTACCTACCTAATATATATTCGCGTAAATACAAGAAATTAGCATTTTATTTTATTCTTAATACTTAGTATAGCGATAGTTTTTCAACTAATGTTATTCATGAATATGGAACCTTAAATGCTATCTTCATTTCATTAATATTCTTTGAATCCGTGCAGATCGATGTCTCGACGACTTAACGTTTGACGTTAGACCAGAAGCTTTTAAAATATAACAATAAAACATGGGTTTAGAGTACGGTTAATAGGTTAATAATGCTTAGGCTTGTCCATCGTTAAGGTAAAATATCACTTAGAGAAAATGGAAAACCATAAACATAATACACGAAACTTATCCCTCTTGTATTGATAATGTTCCAAGTATTGTAATCAATTCATTAGGACACAAATAGTACAACGAATTCCAAATTTTTGTTTGTTTCTCCGAATGTTTACATCACTAAATCGAATTGAATTAAACTCGGAATGAAAACAGCTTATAAAAATATATTCTAAATTAACCCGTAGCAAAGGGAGTAATTACTGATAAAATACATTAAATCAATAAAAAACAACATTACACATACTACCGTGTTTCATTAGTTATAGTACCACTAGCTTGAATTATTTCTTCACGCCGACAGTTCGGTTAATTTTCGATGTGACAGTGCAGTAAAATTTTCACTGAAGAGCGATGAGAAGATATGAGCACGTTTTTATGTTATTTTCATTTCGTATTACGGCGTTATTTCAATTGACCGCAAGTTTACACACTCAGACCGGGCGGGCGCCTCTCTGCATTACACTAATTTCCAGGTCAGGGGTCGAATTATACACGAGTTTTCCATCACCGATACCTCTTCCTACCTGTGCGCTAGTCATTCGAATTTGAACTCTACGGTCGTCGTTATTGAATGGCGTTTACGATCCACAAAACGTGTGTATGCACCCGTGAATTGAAACTTCGCATTTTACAAAATATCTCGTGTGTCGATCGGGGCGATTGTTGGTAAGTAATACGTTTAAACCGTTTTCATTCAGAATGGCAAAGAATTGGCCATTTTATAAATTTCCTCTCACTTTTTTTACAAGTCTTCTTTTCATAAATAATTCCAATCTATCGTGTTGTACATTAAAGGACAAACACTGCTTGGTAGCGGATGTAGAGGCGTGAAGATACGAAGGTTTCGTTGGTTCAAAAGTTGTTGAGATTCCGTGCTACAAAAAATAAGTATGTACTGCTGTCAACAATCGTAATATAAAAACGTAACATCCATGCCGTTATTAATCTACCGAAAACACTTTTTTTCCTCTCGCAATAACATTCGCTTCTTAATACTAACGCACGTATTTACGTGACAGCGTATCAGTACAAATTGCAGTCATTTGCTCAGCTGAATAGCAGTAATAAGGCCTTGCCTTCAGAGCTCCCGTGCGTACAATTAACAATAGATAAGATGGGTTTATTACCACCAAGCAGTGATCTACTTAAGCCTTAAAAGGGCTGCCTGAGTAACGGTTCAATTAGTAATTTTATAAAAAAAATTAAATAAACTACGAAAATACAGTCTTTTCTATTTGCAGTTGTGCCATGCAATTGTTAAAAAATATGGAAATACATAAACGGCATATAAATATAAAAAAATAGTCGTCATATCTGTCCTCGATGTATTTCTGAGAACTATGAATAAAAATTTTAGTAAGTGCTAATCTCTGCACTAAAGCTGAAAAATTAAAATTGACTTCAGTACATTTCACCCAGACCACATTTGAATGATCCTAAACGTTGCAATGCAACTTACTTCCTTATAATTCGCCCTGCAGAATTTCTTATAGGTTGAATAATCAATACTTAAAATTTCTCGCATCTAAAGGGTTACAACAAACAGTCGAAGTGAATTTATTTGTCAATCGTTTTTCGATTTCAATAAGGAAAATCATATATTTACATCACTTCAATTTCCAATTATCGAATAATATATAAAGGTGCCATTGATATTATCCGAAAACGGCCGATATCACATCGCAATTGGCGTCATATTCCGTTCGATTCCTCGATTGAAATGAGCGATACTTCCGTTTGGAGGTTCACGATTTCCCGACGTTGAAATGGGGCCTGATACAATTTCCTTGCATCGGAATCAGCGGGAGCTGTGATTGCTTATCCGGTATTAATTTCAGCGACAACGCCTGATCCGTGAAGTCCGTCTGCTATCTATAATTTTCATTTTATAACGAACTGGCGACCCGCCCCGGATTCGCACGGATGCAATACTGAATGTTTGTTTTCGACATCGCATTAGAAACCTCTAAAATTATCAGTTTTTCTCTACTATATTATGCATGAATTATACATATGAACCTTCCTCTTGAATCACTCTATCTATTAAGGAAAACCGCATCAAAATACGTTGCGTAGTTTTAAAGATCTAAGTATATATAGGGACAGACAGACAACGGTACGACTTTGTTTTATACTATGTAGTAATAGTGATTGGCCAGCTTTTCACTATTGACTCCCACGATTAATAAGTGCAAGTATAATCTATTCTCAAGTGGTAAATGCACCAACTCATAAACGTTGACACAAACACACGAAAGCCCGCGCTTTGCGCTATTTCACAAGGATGTCAACGCATCTGGAATCCTCGGGTGTAGCAGATCTCCATGGGCGGCGGTGTTCACCTACCATCAGGTGAACTGTCTGCTCGTTTGGCAACTTTTGACATAAAAAGAATACTATAGTGTGGATATATTATATAGTTAAAAGTTGAAAATCCTTTAATTTGTGAGATTTAAATGTCTCACAGAAACACCACACGAATTCCAATTTAAAGTACTTCGAGATCAATTACATTGAAAAAAAAAAAATATCAAACTCCGTATTAACTTCACAGTTATTTGGTTTTTTCGTTTTATCGTTTTTATTAATTAGAGGTAAGCTAACTCTCTCTGCTCTGTGATCTACTGCAGTGTATTCTAAGCGAAGTTTAAAAACAAACAAATTAAATGGTATAAAATCCGTAAAATATTGTGTAATAGTGCGGTAACCACGAGCTGTGATAGCTCATTGTTCGGGTGCTCGCTTTTAATTCAATGTACTCGAGCAAACTGAATTCGATCCCAGGTGCCAGTACTAATGAAATTGTTAATTTTGAGTGCTGATTTACATTTTCGAAATAATAACAAAAAAATATATTTCGAAGGTATGGGAAGACCTATCAGCTATGGGGTCGTGTGGCGGCCAATGTCCTAATATCGTCTGTACAGAGGAGGCTTTTGCTCCGGGGTCATTTATATTATGCAGTTACTATACTATTTTGGTATTCGTGTTCTAGTTAAAAATTTAATTTTACGTAGAACTATTTTATGCGAAAACCACACTATCCGTTAAACGTGATAATCCCGTGAGCCCAAGAACTGTCTAATATTTTTGTTTTACAAAAAAACCGTTGCTCCTTCGTATAACTTTTGTAATACAGGCCCGATGGACTAAATCATTATTTTGCCCGATAAAGGATATTAAGAGCGATTTATTTATCCAGTTTCATGTTCCATGCGACTCCAATGAGATGGAAATTTAGATAGCGGATGGACGAAATGAGAGTGACTAAAGTGATTTATGGTGCGAAAGCTGAAGGAATTGCCGGAAGTGGACTTTCCAGAAAGTTTCAGTGAAAACATCATGAATTTGGTCTCCGCGGTAGCTGGCATAAGTTGCCATGTGAATGAAGAATGAACATAAAGATTATGCATGGTTAAAACTAGTAACAATTTAAATAACAACAAATTGAGAATAACATTAGTATCAACTTGAAAATGGTCTAAAAATATTCAATTAACTATCTTGATTAAAATTATTTTCCTCGGTGTGGCAAACAGCCGTTTAGCTTAGTGGCTAATGCGTCAGGCCACGAATTCCGAAGACGTGGGTGCGATTCCCAGAGCGGCGACAACCTTCAGTACTTTTTCTACAAATTTTAATGTTTAATCTTAAGTACAGAGATTAGCACTATAAAATTTTAATAACTATCTTGATTTTTCAAATTAGGCTGGTTCTATGTTTTTTTCTATCTTATAATTTCACTCAACTTTTATCTTAATTTATTGTAATTATTTCTAAGAGTGTGATCGTTAAATACGCAAAAATAATGGGTAATTCAACATTAGTTAGCGATTAGAGTAACCTATTGCGCTCCAGAAAGGTATGACATAACAAAAAAATTTTCGGGCTATTAGCCGAACTGAGGGGGGCGACTGCATTTTATTATTTCATATGTTGCCAAAATCATTCCGGCCTATACGAATACTTTAATATACGTAACCGCTGGAATTATAACACTTTACTGTAGCGGTGCCAATTTTAAGTCTGGTTGGATGCGGCTGTCGTAAACGGCCGACGTTATCTATAGTTTGCGAGAACCGGGTACTCTGCGGATAAGTAACGATCGCATTTTACCAATCGGCTCTATACCGATTTTTTCTTTACACCGTGTTTTGGAAATGCAACACGTTTAGCATTGGTGTCAACGGCATCAGTTTTATTTTGCGGTGGAATGGAGGTCGTTAGTTATTACGATCGGTATCTTTTCGTGTCGTATGAATATCTTATATTTAATAGGGTACCTATTTTTTCTTCTGTTCTTTTCACTTTGGGATAAGCATTACAAACCAATAGCTTTCAGAAATAAGGACTAGAGAAGAATAGAGGCTATGTTCATGTGCGAACTCCGGTGCGTTCCGTAGGAGATCCCAGAGTCCCTCCAAACGTACATAAGATGGCCACCAAGGGGGCTTAGTGGGTATATCTATTAAAGATATCCCCCGCGAAATTTGTGGCCCTTATTAATGAAACATGAAATAGGTATAATTCCATAATCGAACTTTCTATAATGTTTGTAATGTTGTAGTCTCCATTAAAGCACATTTTGTAACTACCATTATTTAATGTTATGGAGGATTTGAACAAGAAATATTTACATCTGATTTGATGTTCTTATAGAAACATTATCTAAAACACGAGTCAGCTGATACTAAGTTGGATTTTATTTTCTGACAGAGACAAACACAAAACAAGCATAACTCAGGCGGAATATAAACACTGAATCTGTTTAGACGCAGTGCTACGCCGTCGTGAGTGTTAACAATCGAGCTTATAAAAGCGCTAAGCCTGTCAACATCCAACGTCCATAAAATGAACTTCTTTTACGTGAGAAAGTGGCAAGAGAGCAGGCAGTTTACTTGATGGTAAGTGATAATCGCAGCCCATGGACATTTGCAACACTCGTAGGTTTGCAGTTCTTGTATTAACTGACGTTTTTGTTTGCAGTCCCGAGACTATTAAACCTTCATCTTGCTTTACAGTTGTCACCGTTGGACTGTAGTAACTGAACATCAGGAGAACCGCTTGCTCGCTTGACAACCTTTGATCTAAAAAATGTGTGATCTCTATCCCCGTATACTTTTAACTATACTAATAGGGTAACAGGGGGTGTACTAAAGTCAATATTTACATGAATAAATAGTATTTTGAGTTAGATGTGATTATATTATGAGATACCTTTTAACAGACCCATTTACAGTTCAAACGAACCAAAAATATCACTAGACTGAATTCAATATTCAGTCCCTTTGTCTTTAGTTTTAATGAAATATCATATTTAGAATATGGCATTTAAATCGCCGGATTTATTATAGCAAAGTACTAACCTAATAGGTAGATGATCTTAATAAATGGTGAGTGAAATATATGACGAATTACGGTCTTTTACGTAATTCTTTAATGAAGATTCACTTTATGATAAAGAATCATTTTGTATTTTGCACTAGCCAATTCGCCATCGGCTATCAAGAAAGCGACAATGGAAGCACGTTTTATAAGAATATCTAGAATCATTATATGGCATTTAAATTGCGGGATTTATTAAACAAAGTACTAATCTGATAGGTTAAATTATCTTAATAAATGATTAGTGAAATATAATATGAGCAAAGTTGCGGTCTTTTTCGTTATTCTTTAAAGAGTTACTTCATAATATATGTTCATTTTCTACATTGCACTAGCCAGTTCGCTAACAGCTATCAAGAAAGTGACAATGCACGCATTAGGAGGAGTGTACATGACAAGTTGTCCATAGTGAGAATTGCTATGTTTACACTCCGTTACAGTCGCGCAAGAAGGCCTTACTGAGAACACAATGAACGGCAGCACACGCTGAATTAACTTATACTGGAACGTAAGGATAAGAGCCCTCGAAGAAACCTCATATTTGACACTCGCCTACCACTCTACAGGCCTCGAGAGCTAACCGACGCTCCATGAAATAACTCCTATATATTCCATCGCCTGCCGTTAATGGATATTACCTCTACAATGGCGATACAATTTGTTATGAAGCGGTTAATATCTTTTAAGAGAACTTCTAGTGGTTATGAAGGCAGTTTCAATCGGGAATCACTTGGTCAGATTATTATTGTCGTATTGAAAGGAAGTTTTGCTGTATAAAGGCTTATCAATGTGTATTTTTTAAGATGTATTATATCGTTTAACGGTGGATTTGCTTCAGAGTAGCGAAATGTTTAAGATATGAGAGAAAAAAAATAATTTTGGCAGATGGATATCAAATATGGATGGAACTTTTTTAGTCTTTAAGAACCTACTTTTATATAAACTAACAATGCCCATAAAGCACTAGTTTAATTTAAGTAGAAATAAAAAATACGTACATTTATTATTACTAATCCGTAATAATAAAGATCGAGTAAAACTATTTTATGGATTCACGGTGACAAAATACGTAAAATATATATAATTATAATTGTAAGGAATAAATACTATAAATTCATCTCCGCATCACATTGAAGTTTTCCGAAAATTTAACTTTAAACCAACTTTGAGCATATGCAAAGAATCCTTCAAGACGTAGTGTTTAATATACATAATTAAGAAGTAATATAGTTGCACATTGACACGCTTACTGGAGTAAAAGCTGCAAAGAAACTCTACGTTCTAATACAAGAGCTATCCGATACGTTGTTATTGGGTTCGAACCACTTTGATTGCCAATATAGAGTGCATTTGACCCGGTCGCTTTAATACTTCAAGCAATTTTAGATTTTAATTCAACGTGTTAAGAATGCATACAGCTAATCAGTGCAACTGGAGTCTCGTGGAAATTCTAGATAGTTTCTGAGTTGATACTGACGCTCTATGGATAGTAACATGTTCACGTTATATATAACTTCAAAACTGTATAATGTTTTTGTGTTAAGGCAAGACTTTCGGATTTTAAATAATTAAAGATTTAAATATCTAATAATCCAAATAGAAAATATTCCTTTATCGTAAAGAGCCGTGATAGCTCAGTGTCCGGGCGCTCGCCTTAATTCAATATACTCGAGCAACCTGAGTTCCATCCCCGGTGCCGGCACCAATGAAGTTTTTAACTTTAAGTGCTGACTTATCACGTGCTCCGCGGTGAAGGAAAACATCGTGAGGATACCTAGCATATTTTCGAAATAATTAGAAAAAAAAATATTTTTCGAAGATATGTGAAGTCCGCCAACCCGCAGTGGGGCTGCGTGGTGGACTATGCCCTGATACCCTCTGTATAGAGGAGGCCTTTGCCCAGCAGTGGGACATGTATAGGCTAACAGCTTTAGTAAAGTAAAAAGATTAAATAAAAGAAATTAAACATATTCTTGTCTTTTATCTACCAAGTATTAAATATATACAAATAACATTCTTTTTAAACACGTCATTAGTTACTGAATGTGTTACAATATAAGAGAAATGATATCACGTAGATTGGGTAGCATTGTGCGGAAACCTATCACCGCTTCATAGAAGACCAGCGTGAAGTAAAATCATTTTATTTTCGTCTCGTGAGTAGGGAACTCTTTAAAGGTTGGCATCACATCTGTAGCCTGTCTGCCTAGCCAGGAGTTGTACATGTACATAGGCGACGGTAATCACTTAACGTCAGTCGAGCCACCTGCTCCCTTGCCTACTTTGACACAGAAAACAAGATTTCTTTTAATATTGGTATCAGGGAAAGTATATGGAAACGATAATATGATGTACAGCGTGTGGTTAAAACCACGACAATAAATGACCTCATATAGAGGATAAGATTTTAAAATTATGTTAAGCATTTACATTTTTAAGATCAATATTTACCCAGTTATTAAATTTATTAAGCAATGAATATTTTTAGAACACCCTTACGTATAAAACTGTAACTTAAAATTGATTTGTAAAGGTCACAAAGCATATGAATGGGTTGAGTGAATTTAAAAGAGATAAAACATGTTATTAGAAGGAGAGACATGTAATGCGACATTGTGGCAACGAATGAAAAAATCTCTGAATGTATGAATAAGTCAGTTGTAGTTATATAGGATGTTACAAATTGTTTCTTTTTTATTTAATTAGTTTTTTTTAAAAAATATTTTTTTTTTTAAGTATGGATTATTTTACTTTTTTTTTATGATTATTGGCAAGTAGCGTTAAACGTGTGTTCATTCATTGTCGCGGTTGTAACGACTCGCTGTATAAAGAATAAAAAAAATTTTTGTATTGAGCTGATGTTAAGTGCGCAGTTTTTAGATATTAGTGGCATCTATTCATTCCTGCATTAATCAATTTCTTTCTTCTTTCTAATTGACGATACTGAATGATGTTTGAATTACCTGTAAAATTGTATATGGACATATGCGTTCTTCTTTGCCTCTCTAGTTCGAGTAATAGATGTCGAACTTGCAACTTTAAAGTATTATATAATTAATTAAACGCTGTACATCTGTTTCTCTAATATTCCTATACTATTTCTGTAATTTACATGCGATATATTAAAGACTTGTACATAAAATGATGCTTTTTTTGGCATGATATACCACTGCTGGCCTTAGGGGCCATTTGATACTTTCATTCACACAGTAACTTTTATCTATGTCATGGTGATAATTGAGGACATTGATACGCTCAACTTTAGTCGAGTACCTAAATCTCAGTGGCATTCGATAATTATCGCATCGAATTGGTGCTCTCAACTCAGAGTAGGCCTTTGCCCAGTCGTGGGACATTTATAGGCTTACTTAGCTACTTTTCTTTTACATTGGTGTTTGTGTACAGGTTTGTCAGCAGCCTATCTATTATTAGTATGCAAACAATGTATGTTTCTACTATGTATTTATTTATTAAAGAAAAGTACTTTGAAGTATGTTTATCAGTTATCTAGTACCCATAATCCAAGCATTGCTTAGTTTGGATAGAGAAAATTGTGTAAAAATTTGTCCAAAAAAATCTCAGCTTCAAGGGCAGAGGCGCAAGTTATAGCGTTTTATATAACTTTTATTACTATTTACATCCAATCATGGGTCTTTAGAAAATTCTCATCCATTTCTGCCTTCATATACGTAAACAGTCTATTCGCCCAATGAAAGTAACTACGTCTCGCAAACGACCTGTTTTACTTGAAATGAGGTTGTTAGCCTCTTCCGCAATCTTACGACGTTATACATAAACAAAATAAAGCACACCGTGGAACAATAGATTGTAGAAAAATCTTCCATGACTTTCTTTTTTTTTTTTTGTAATGTACAATTGTATGAACACCGATATTTTGGTGCTGTAGCTATCGAGATAACAACCACAGCCTTAGAATTAACCAATGCGATTTATTTAAGAAGGTATCATCTGTAAACGTCATCAGTAAAAACAGTAATGATGAACGTCAAGAAGTCACTTTGTCACTAGAGTCGAGACAATAATTATGTATGTCTAGAGTAATTTTCAAAGTAAGTTTTCTCATCATTAATATTTATAAGGTTCCTAATAAGAAAACTTAGTGATGAAGTTACATAACTTTTTGTTTTTAAAATTTCGAAGTCTAGTAATACCCACTGTGTGGCGACAAAATAAGCATTTGTTTCTTATTGGGATATTAACGCTAATGTTACAAACATTATTTTATTAATGGTACTTAATAATTAGAACTAAAATTCGTATAATTTGCCATCAGTTGATAAGTTCTTTGATTTAATTTGTGGCAATCATATGATTTATTTGGAAATAAATAAAAGAAAGAATATTTAAGAATTGACTAATGAAAACATATAATACAAGGATCCTGTAGAGTATGTCAATATTATATTATTTATATAATATAAATAATATAATATTGACATCGTCTATGTCAAACAGAAATTGAAAATATTCTGTTCGACATATCATTCGAGTATCATTACAATAAAAATTGTATTATACCACTACATGTGGCTAAATATTTGTAGAAAATCATCATAAAAATATTAAGTACTACTCACATGATTAAATTATTTGAATAATGTCGTCATAATGATGAATAAATACGTTATTGCTATTTTTATTGTTCTTTGGGAAATTGTTTCAGATATTTACCGCATTTTCTTCGACTGTTACTAATTGTACTGAAAAATTTAAGTCAATGAGTATTTTATTGGGTCTATTACCGACATTATTAGTTTTCACAAATATTTTCAGAGAACTTAATGATATTTTTTCAGTAACTATATAAAGTGTTTGTTGTGTAGCATATTTTATTGCGTCTTTCGGAGTTGAAAATATCGCCCGTAGTTAAATATTTGTTCGGCTCTCAGTAATAAGTTACTAAACGAGTCAACTCAGTAGAATACGGCGTTAGTTGAATTTTAAATTAAAACTGCGAAAACAATTATTTTATCATTAAACATTTAGAATTTTAATGGCAGATTTTTTACATATCATTTGTATCATAGATTGTATGAAAGGTATTTTGATCCAATCTATAACACAAATTTTGCTTTCTCTGTTTTAAATTCAAAGATTAGCGTAACTAATTTTATGTATAATACGAGAGGTATTATACATAAAATTAGATGTAATAATGAAATAAATTTTTAGTTGAATGAACTGAGAGTTTATCTGAGTTTTTAAAATTAATACTTGTAAAAAAAATAACCAAATAACCAATAGCAAATTTTGACCATTACTGTAGATTAAATCTAAAAATATCTCTTTTTTTAGTACACTTACTTCTTTTCCAAAATAATGGTTGTTTGCATTACTCTAGCTTAAAAATCTAAAAACAACAAAAAATATATTCAACGTACGATCAGTCGCTCTACTATTAACAAAACGAGAACGATGACACAAAACATGTTTTTAGGTATTGGTATTTTTATATGTTTGTTTGTTTTTATCGATAACAACTTAATTGAAATTACATGGAGCGATACGTGCACGTGTACTTTTAAAAATATGAGTGTTTTATAATGGAAATTATACAAACCTATTTCAGTATAAAATAATTGCAGTTATAATATTTGAGTGGAGTAATCGTATGTCAATCGCGTGAAATGTGGGTGTAAAAGGAAAAAAAGTTTATTTTAAGAATTTTTTTTTTTTTTCAAAGTATTGTGGTGGTGGTGTTGGTAACACAATACTTACAATGTAGCGCAAAGGGGGCACATAGCCGAGAGCGCACGAGTGCCCGCCCGCCGCTCGGCCGCGCCACCGCGCTACCGCCGCATGGCGCCAACCCGCCAGGTTCTTCGCGCGATGCCAACGCGCGTGCACAACCCGCGCGCGAAAAACCCGCGCGTGATAAATCCGCGCCCAAAAAACCGCACGAGCACGTGACGCGTCGCCAGCCACGCGTGCAGTCCACGTAACGTCGTGCCGGTTAGTCCGACTGTTGACAATCCATAAGCTCTATCACAACCAGCCCTTGCGCTCGAACGTAATCTCGAATCGCGCCTGAACCGGCGGCGACCTACGTGCGTCGCGCCCCATCAAGTGTCACCCGCGCGTAAATATTGTATGGCGACGTCGGCACGCATTGTCGCATTGCAGGAAAACGTGGCGACGTGCCCCTAGCACCGTCGTGGCCGCGTTGGTGCGCGCGTACCGTCCCAGCCGGGGCATCCGGCTACGCGCTACGACGTGCTACGGCGTGCTACGATCGATGCCGGATACTCACGTTGGCACGCCAGTCATCGGTTGCGGCTAACGTAAACAAGGGCGCGCGTACATTCCGGCGGGTGTCACATGGCGGGTGGTGGTTGTGGGAGCTCGGGCCGACGGCCCGGCCCTGAGCAACGGCCGCGGGGCTGCCGGCGCGCCGTGAGCGGCGTCGCTTGCCAAATGAGCGGATTAGGTGCGCGGCGGAGTAGTCGGAGGCGACACGCGCGTCGTCGGCACTGCGGGCCGCCACTGAGGAGGGGCGGCCCGGGACCGCGGCCCGGCCCCGCGCCCCTCGCCTCCCCCCGTCCGCCCTACCGCCATGTGCCCGGCTCTCGCCCCGCAAAGGGTTGCCGCCGGAGCGAAATCGCCACTCGGTGCATTAGAACAATCTTGCCGGCAACACAGCTCCCTGCGTGGTACGGCTTCGCGCCGAAGTTTTATTATTGTTTTTATTCATCAAACGCCTGCGAGATGGAAAATTTGACGGCGTTCACTTCCCTCATTCAACAGTCATCATATCAGGCTTTTTTTACATTTCAAAATCATTCTCTAAGTGATGTTCGAAAATAGCGTATGCGTACGCCCGTCTGGAAATTGGTAACGCAGCCCTTAAATTTTCAGTGGAGGGGGCCGAGCCGAGCCGAGTTTCTCCGAAGTTCCGCGAGAGGGGCAACCGAGCCTGTACGAACGCGCACCCGGCGCCGCCCAGTCGATAAGGCCGTCTCCATTCGCCAACGAACAAAGACACTAACCTATAATAATTACATTTAATTAAGGATTACGGATCATTTAAATAAACACTCGGTATCGAGATTTTTTTTGTTTTCAAATTTTATTGGTTTTTTTTTTTTTTCATTGTAACAGTAACCGGAAAAAGAATAGTCGGCTAATTTCAAATTAATTATTTGAAATATTATTTTTTTGAATAATTACATCAAAATTAACATTAATTGCTTAAAATATTTCTTCTTTTATTGGATTATAAAAATTAATTATTCTAAGTTATCTATAACGTCCAGATAAATATACACAAATTTTGTGTGCATGACTAATAAATAATGCAGAAATAATATGAGTATTTTTTGGTTATTATATCTATAGAAGACACAATTTTACAGAAATTTTCACGCACAAAAATTCGCGAAACATTTGACAAACAAAACGTGTGCTATCCTATATGTTTTGCGTCCTATTTGATGAAATTTTGATTGGTTATTCTAACAGCTGATCTATTTAATTTCAAGATAGACATTTCTAGAAACATGGAGATTACTTCATTCAGGTATTGTTGAAGTTGAAGTTATTCATCAATATTATTCTAATTAAAATATGTAGAAAAAGTGCGAAAAGATTGTCGCCGCTGTGGGAATCGAACCCACGTCTTCGGCATTCGCGGCCTGACGCTCTAGCCACTGAGCTAAACGGCTGATGACCACACCGACGAAAATCTTAACGCATTCCTCTACATTGTTTTCTTAGCATTTGAAGCAATGCTTGGCGCCATCTATTGTTATATCCTTAAAATATGTAGAAAAAGTGCGAAAAGATTGGTTTAATGTACAATCTTAAGTGCAAAGATTAGCACTATAAACAATTTAAATTTCTAAAAAAGCAATGGCGACATCTCTCGTTCGAATTATCGTTGTAAAACGATATTCGAAATTGTTTGTATGCTGGAAAGGATACAAACAATTTCGAAGGATACAATCAATTTTAAGAACAATTTATAAGAAGGCCGCCGCCTCACGGCCGGCGTACCACAAGGCTCCTGCCTCTCACCCTTGTTATTTACGCTCTACCCGAGCGACATACCTAGAGACCCCGACGTCAATCTCGCGCTTTTCGCGAATGACACGGCGCTCTTTTACTCAGATCGCAACCTCAGTCAATTAACGACTCGACTCCAAAGCGCCGCCGACCGCCTCGGTGATTGGTTCCGCAAATGGAGAATCGATATTAATCCAGAAAAAAGTGTGGCGATTCACTTCACTCGTAGCACCCCCAAACCCCATCCGCCACACCGTTACAAAGGTCCTCGCCAGTACAGAAAGTTGGGGCAAATATCACTATATGGCCAAACTCTCCCCTGGGAGAAAACGGTCAAATATTTAGGAGTCACTTTCGACTCGCGTATGACTTTCACTACGCACATCAATCAAGTCCGAAATAAAGCCGCGTTCGTCTCCGGCCGGCTACACAATTTAACGAATAAGTAAAGTAAAATGCCCTTAAGGCACAAATTACTGTTATATAAAGCTTGCGTAAGGCCAATCATGTCCTACGCATGCATGATCTTCGCACATATAAATCCTACGCGCATTAACGAATTGCAAGTAGTTCAAAGTAAGTTTATCCGCTGCGCAACCGGTGCGCAATGGTATCAGCGCAACGTCGACCTGCACAGCGATTGCAGACTCCCGACGATTCGCGCACATTTTAAAGATTTGACAAAACGGTTCTTCGATAGAGCCCAGCATCATCCCAACCCTCTGGTGGTAAGCGCAGCAAACTACCTACCGGACACTAACGCGAACGTAAACAAGCGTCGCCCGCGAAACGTCCTCATCGACCCGGTCGACGAAGAGGACTTAGATACGATGGACCCACCGCCGGGGGTCCCGCCGGATAACACTACACCCACAGTTAGTGTAACAACAATCACACCAGTTCGCCCTCGCCTCCGAGCACGGCGAGACCCACACAACGCGTACACAAGGTACACCCGCGTTCCGGGGCGGTTCTCACCGCTCCCAGCCACCGATTAGCTAAATGCACAGTCGACGGCCGTCGGGGTCTCGGTCCGAACCGGTGACCTCGACGGCCCTTAGATGACACACCATAGTAGTTAAACGCACGCATGAGCACATGCGCGACCCTACCCATAGCGGAGGGTCCAAACCCGTGGGTTCTGGCTAGCCCACCGGTTCTGCGTCCGATGAAGCTTTAATAGTCTCGGGACTGAAAGCAAAAACATCAGTTAATACAAGATAATTCACATATCTTCGAAAAATATTTTCTTTTTGTTATTATTTCCAAAATATGCAGGTTTCCTCACGATTTATTCCTTCACCGCGGAGCACGTGATAAGTCAGCACTTAAAGTTAAAAACTTCATTGGTGCCGGCACCGGGGATCGAACTCAGGTTGCTCGAGTATATTGAAATAAAGGCGAGCGCCCGGACACTGAGCTATCACGGCTCTAGAGTATATTGCATTCCAAAGCGCGACAAATAAGCCTTACGTCATTACAAACTCAAATGCAATACCTTTTCGCGCATAAATACTTATTTAACATTGGCGTAATCCAGATTTTTTTTAATTTCTAAATATATTAGAACCGTAATAACTCAGTGTCCGTGCACTCGCCTTTAATCCTTACTTTCTTACTAATATTATAAGTATGTATGGATGGATGTTCGTTACACAAAAACTACTGAACAACTTTTAATGAAACTTTACAATAATATTTTTTTTTATTTAATTAGGATCGCAAACTGAACATTACACTCACATTACAGAATAATGGACACAGATAAAGTTGATACGGAACTTAACACACAAGTGAATGTTCTTCTATGAGCGAACACAACATGCACAAAAAACACTCTCAACAATAAATAATTGTACAATGAAATAAAAAAAATTACTTTTGAAACAAAATAAAAAATGAAAAACAAAAGAAATTAAAGCTAAATTAAAAATTATAGATAAAACAACATTTAAACTTAACTTTAAATTACAACTAATTCAAAACTATCGAAATATAACTTATATATCAGAATAAAATAGCCTATCGTCTATATACATAAAAATGAATTGCTGTTCGTTAGTCTCGCTAAAAATCGAGAACGGCTGGACTAATTTGGCTCATTTTGGTTTTGAAAGATTTGTGGCAGTCCAGGGAAGGTTTAAACGATGAGAAATTATGAAAAAAAACTGCATGGAAAATCGAATTAGCAACAATTTCATTTCCCATACAAACTGTACCTACTGTTCTATCTGTACCTATCAACTGTGTCTGTATAACCTGTCAATCTCTTTATTTCCGAAATCCGCTGTCTCGGTGGTGGCGTAGATAAGCTACAGGCTTCGGCGTCGGGGGTCGTAGGTTCGATTATCACATGGAATTATAATTTTTGTGACCCACAGTAATTGTTCCGGATCCGGGTATTTGTTTCCCCAGGAGGGTTGACGTAAGTTGATATTTTATGATGACCCCACCTCGGTGGGATAAGGGCGGTATGATGATGATCTTCTGACTAAATCTACAAAAACATAGTACTTAGTGATACAGATTTTAAAAAGGGAAAATATTTTCACGTTTAAAATTTCTTAATATATATTCAAAACAATATTTTTATTTTGTATAAATAATTCATTAAGAGCAAACATATTTTAGGCCGAAGCGTAACGCGTGATTGAAAGCTGAAGATTTTTATTTGTGAATATTCTTCAAAAGAAATCTTCAAATCTCAAGTACCACTCGACCGCACACGTTCGCTTATTTCATATTCTATATGCCCTGGAAACCTTAATAACTTCAATTACTGCAAGTAAACGTTAAGTAATAATTATATTACTCATGTTAAGCCGTATCTGTATCTATCTATAAACAATTTTATCGTTATTGTCTTACCATTTTTCGTATTAAAGACTGATGAAAATGTCTATCTATGGTCAGTAAACGTTAGAAGTTGTTACATCCCCAGTCACCGTCGTACTGCACCTACATCAATTGTGTAATGACCAGGCTTCCTTCAATGTAATCGACCACTGAAAAAGCGCAGCCCTTTAACTTCTATACCTATATATATAACTTCAGAACGATTGGACACCCCTTAGTGTCTTAAATAATTAGTATTAAATTTAGTTGAAGACTTTTGTAAACCTTTATTAAATACTGTTTTTATATTAAATCTTCAATATTTTTACTGTTTTTGCAACAACAGCAATATAATTGCGTTAGGGCCACGCAATTTCATTGTTGCTGAATAGGTAGATCCGTACAGGTAAGTACCACGAGCGGACAAAACACCGACGTGAAGTTGAAGTAATATGCTTATGCGTTTCGTTTGGAGAGTGAGGTAGCCGGGGTCCACTTTATTAAATGGTAGCAATCGATGGGCGCCGGATAAAAATTAAGTGAATCGCCTGCTCACTTAAAAAAACAACGAGGCACGAGAAATCAATGGAAAGTGGAATAATATTTTCACTTCTTATCCATCTCATAAGGTATCATTTTCAAAGTCCGATACTCGTACCTTTGATAGGGTTAAGCTTGTATAAAATTTCTATGTTACGTAGGTTAGGACTGCTTGTTATTGTAAATTACTATTACGTATGTTATCATTAATTACAGTTCGTACACTGTTACTTTAAAGGCATCATTGAATTGCGTATAAAATGCGGTATAGATTATAAACAAAACGTGAAACAAAAAGTTGGAACGGTATTTTTTTGAAAAAAACTGTCGTAACATAGGTTAGTATAAGTTACCACTCAAAGCGATGTCGAGAAGATACTGTGGCTGCTAACAGATATGGATATCAGACGCCTTATATAGGTGGTATTAGAATTTCAAATTTGCCTAAGCTGATATTACAGCCGACGCTACGAATACTATACTTTGACTGCCATTAGTGTACTGTGATAATATTAGTATTTCTTGAGTACGTTCCTCATCATTTCCGTTGTAATTTCCAACCTCTCGCTCCCTAAATATTTGCTATCGGTTAAGTGATGATTTTTT